GCGCCGCCGGTGGGGCCCCCAGCCCCCCCGGCCCCTGCCCGACCCCGCCGGCAGCCGGCCCGGGGCGCCTGGGGGCCCTGGGGACCCTGGAGCTCCTGCTCCAGCTCCTGTGGGGACGGCGTCGCCCTCCGCACCCGGAGGTGCCTGCGGTGAGTGGGGGTTGGGGCAGCACGGCCCCCCGGGGTGTCCCCACTCCCCCCGCAGCACCCACGCCCCGCGACACGGCTCTGCCACGGCCTCCACGCGCGTCCCTGCAGGCCCCGGGCACCGCGCTGTGCCCTGGGCAAATGCCAGCCTGATTTCGGAGGGGAAGGGATCAGGGGGAGCTGGACCCTGCCGCCCCCATCCTGGGGTGCAGGATGCAGCCCCATGCGAGACATCGTGGTCCCTGCTCCTGCTCCCCCATGGGGATGCATCACTCCCAGCCCGGTGCAGCTCCGTGGCTCGGTGGTGGCCTGGCCCCGGAGACCGGGAGAATCGCCATGTGGGACGCCGGGTGCAGGCAGGGATGCTCGAGGGGGCCAAGCCCCGGCCCCGCTGCGCTGACGCTGTGGCCACAGGTCTGCCGAGGAGGAGCCGTGCACGGGCGACCCGCGGCAGTACCGGCTCTGCCAGCTCCAGGTGAGCGTTGCGAGGGCCACGGCACCAGCATGGTCGCAGTTGCAGTCCCGGTGCCGTGGGGCTCCATGTTGCTGCTCCCGCAGGGCTGCCCCAGCGGCTCGGTGCCCTTCCGTGCCATGCAGTGCTCCCTCTACGACAACAAGCCCGTCCTGGGCACGCCGGCCCGGTACCGCTGGGTGCCCTTCCATGGAGGTGAGTCCCGGGGTGGCGGGTGGCATCGCCGGGCTGACCGGGGGCCATGGCTGCCACCGGCGTCACCCCCTTCCCTTCCCGCCCGGCTCCGGCAGCCCCCAACGTCTGCGACCTCAACTGCCTGGCCGTGGGGCACAACTTCTACTACACCTTCGGCCGGGTGCTGGACGGCACCCGCTGCGGCCCCGGCTCCCCGGACGCGTGGGCTGCGACGGGATCCTGGGCTCGGGCGCGCGGCCTGCCGCCTGCGGCCAGTGCGGCGGCGGCCACGACACGTGTCTCTTCGTGCATCGGCTTTTCCAGGGCACGGACCCCTCCTCCGGTGAATGAACCATTGCCCCGGCCCCCTCCATGGGTGAATGCTTTGGCTCTTGGCTCCCCTGTCCTCCTGTCTGCGTCCCCAAGGCATCGCCTGGGTCCCTCGTCACCCTGTCCCCTCTCCATCTGCCCCATCGCTGCCGGCACATCGTCCCTGCTCCCTTCCTGTCCCCAACATGTGGGGACAGGGACAGCGGGCTCAGAGGAGGCCCCTTGCTGGGGTGATTTTGTCCCGTTGCAGAGGGTATCTCTCCTCCAGGGGCTGAGGGGGTCTCTGGGGCACCCCTGTGGTCCACGGGGTCCCCAGGGGAGTTCAGAGGTCCCTGGGGGCACCCAGGGTCGGAGTGGTCCATAGCCAGTGTCCACAGGCCGCCTGGCCAGGCTGTGGGGACGATGCTGCCTGTGAGGACAGACGGCCCCGGGTGGCACCCCAGGGCCATTGCCGGGTGCCCCAGATGTCCCAGCACGTGGGGCCCGGCTGGGTTAACGCTGCTGGTGGCTGGGACGGGGCTGGGGCTGCCCCAGACCCAGAGCTCCCCCATGCCCAGTCCCCTCCCGCCCCAGCCCTGGCCCCCCGTCCCCGGGCTGTCCCCTCGCGCCGTGCCCCGGCTCTGCCCTGACTCTGCCCCCCCGCCAGGTTATTTTGGGTACGTGAACGTGACCAAGATCCCGGCTGGGGCCACTCACATCAAGGTGACAGACAAGAGCCGCAACTACCTCGGTAGGACGTGTCCTGTCTCCGTCCCAGTCAGTCCCAGTCCATCCCAGCCGGTCCTGGTTGGTGCCACCCGTGGGCGCAGGCAGGGCGGGGCAGGGGGGGGCCGTGCCGTGCCGGTTCCCCCACTCAGACGCTGTTCTGAGCATCGGGGGTTCAGTGAACGCGCTGGCACTCGCGGCGCCTTTCCAGAGGCCGTGGCCGTGGGGGTGGGGAGGGG